AAAAAAAAAAATGATGGCAAGAAGGGTACGTTCTTTAAAGCTTGGTCTCTGTGCTTGGAACATGCTCATAATCTAATGCAGAATTTAAGAAGAAATCAACATTCGACAAGGTAGAGTTTGATGAGGACCCAACCGAGTTGCCCGAGGAGGTCAAGTATTTGAGCAAGGAGCTAGACGAAGAAAAAATCGGGCTTCCCAATGAACTCAGATGGGATGAGGTGGAAGAGGACGAAGACGTCGAAGATGCCGAGCTCAGTCCTTCTGAATGGGCGAAAAAGTTTGAGCGTGACGTTGCTATGTGGGACCAGGAGGAGCAAGGCTACGACGAAGACAGCATGGCCAATGTCTCCCCTTCGAATGTCGAGGACGACCGTTTGTATGTTGAATTGCCGGGATATGACGCATCACTGAGTCTTGCGGAAAGTCAAATTAGCGGTATTGAAACGAAAAACTCTTCGGACCCGTACAAATATTGGGAACAGGGCATGGCGTAAGCTGACACAGTGAAATTTGTTGATTAGCGTGTGCACTGTGGACTTATGTACTGTTATCAATGTTATTGCAGTTATTCGCCCGAAATGCTGAACTGGATGTTGCCTGCGGAAAAGAGGAAACCTTTCAAGATGGGCGCGACAAAACCTTGGAAATATTTTGTGGCTGCCAATCACGCAGACGTTGTGGAATTAGCGCTTGATGTGGAGTTGCTGCGTCTTTTCATTTCGCCAACTGGACGCATTCGTCCTCGTCGTTACACGGGCTTGACAGCCAAGCAACAGCGCAGACTGACACAGGCAATTAAGATTTCGCGTCAACTTGCTTTATTACCGTATATGTCGCGGTATCCAGAGCCTACACCTGAGCAGTGGAAGGCCATTGATGAAGAAATAATTGCTGCTGCTGAATTAGAGGCGGATGATGACGTTGGCGAGGATGATGATGATGACGACTTTGATGAAGACTTTGAGTATGAATAGAAATAGAAGTGTTTGGAGAGGATACATTTTGCACTAAAATTGTGATCGTCACGTCGAGGAAGACTAACGTTCTTATACTATTTTTTGTAAAGTATGATGGCCTTGACTAGGATAAAGTTTCTCAAATGTAAATTTAGTGCTTTACTCTGAGAAACAGAATTGAGAACGCAAGTATACGCAGAAAAATACAAGAGCGAAGTCAAAATACAAACCCAAACACCAGCTCAAGTTTCTTTGATGCCTTTAGTCTCTGCGCAGAAGACACTGCATTCAGTCTGCTGACCACGATTTTAATTAACTCAAATTCCGCTCTGCAATTTGACCCCGAGTCAATTATTCGTCAAGCTCAGCAGCTAGCTCGGCCGCCTTCGCCTTGACTTCTTCGATTCCTCCAACCATGTAAAAAGCAGCTTCTGGAAGGTCGTCGTAGTTACCGGCAATGATGTCCTTGAACGACGAAATCGTGTCCTGAAGTGGCACAAATTTGCCGGCTTTACCCGTGAACACCTCAGCCACGTGCAGGGGCTGTGACATGAATTTCTGTACTTTACGGGCACGAGCGACCGTTAGTTTGTCATCTTCCGACAACTCATCCATACCGAGGATAGCAATAATATCCTGCAGACCCTTGTAATCTTGGAGTAACTTTTGCGTAGCACGGGCAATGTCGTAGTGTTCTTGACCGATAATACGTGGGTCAAGCATACGCGACTTGGAGTCAAGCGGATCAACAGCTGGGTAGATGCCTAGTTCAGAAATTTGACGTGACAGCACAGTGGTAGCATCCAAGTGAGAAAAAGTCGTGGCCGGAGCGGGATCGGTCAGGTCATCAGCTGGGACATAAATAGCTTGAACTGAAGTAATAGAACCCTTTTTAGTCGATGTGATTCGCTCCTGAAGTGCACCCAAATCCGTGGCGAGCGTCGGCTGGTATCCCACAGCAGAAGGAATACGACCCAGTAAAGCCGATACTTCGGAACACGCTTGTGTGAAACGGAAAATATTGTCGACGAAAAGAAGAACGTCCTGGCCTTCAACGTCACGGAAATATTCAGCAACAGTCAATCCAGTAAGACCCACACGAGCACGAGCTCCAGGAGGTTCGTTCATTTGACCATACACAAGGGCGGCTTTTGATCCAGTCGTGGTGCCGTCGTCATTGATCTTGATCACACCAGATTCGATCATTTCATAATACAAATCATTACCCTCACGAGTACGCTCACCCACACCGGCAAAGACCGAGACACCACCGTGGTTGTTCGCCACGTTGTTAATCAACTCCATGATCACAACAGTCTTGCCAACACCAGCTCCTCCGAAAAGACCGATCTTACCACCCTTAGCATATGGTGCCAACAAATCTACAACTTTCATTCCTGTCACTAAGATCTCAGCACCCGAACCTTGCTCCGTAAGCAAAGGAGCCGACGTATGGATAGGAGCATAACGCTTAGCGTTAATCGGACCACGCTCATCCACAGATTCTCCGATTACGTTCATGATACGGCCAAGTGTCTCCGGACCCACAGGTACCTATACATAGCCCGATATATGCAAGAATTATATCATTATCTTATACACTTCATATTGTATCGTATAGTTATAAACTATAGCGTACCATGATGGGATTGCCAGTGTCTTCACATTCCTGACCGCGGACCAGACCATCCGTTCCTTCCATGGCGATTGTGCGCACTGTATTCTCACCCAAATGCTGAGCAACCTCAAGCACAATGCGCGTGTTGTCCTGAGTTTTGATCTCCAGGGCATTTAAGATAGGCGGCAAATTGTCCTTAAACTGCACATCTACGACGGCACCAATGATCTGAGTAATTTGTCCAACTGATCTCGTAGCTTTTTTCGCGTCCGTTGCTAACGAGCGAGCACCGCGAATCGCGGTGAGCCCAACACGCGACAACATTTTAAAAATTGGTTTTCCAGAATTAGATTCGAACTACTCCCGTCTGCGGCCGGAAAGCGGAAATGAACTCTGTCAAAAGGGGGGAGCCAATGAGGACCACACACACACCTTCTCATTTAAGGTTTGTAAATGATCGATTAAAAGAGGGATAATTAGAACTAATATGAAATAGTCAAGTAGTTTTAAGAGTATATGATATAGTATAGGTCTCGTTCTAGTAAAAATTAAATTGTAGACTCAACTGATTTGATTTACATAATTTCGTCACATAATTATAATTTATGCTCCATTGTCGTGGAATGATCAAGAAAACATAAACGAAACCTGACAGAAATGCGTAGCTTGCTATCCAGCGTCCCTCTCCAGCATCACCTTTCGAAGACAGCTTGCCTTGAACTGTGAATCGAAGTCATTTATGACGGACAGGCTGACTTCAGCGTCAATTCTCGCCTCCGCCGCTGAGACAAATGTGAACTTGTGTAATTGTCATTATTCGGTGATCGAAGCAGCGATTGAAAGTGATGTGATATTTTTATCACATTGGTCCTCGCGCTTGCAAACGGTGTTCTAAGGCTGTCCATTTGAGCTGGCGCTGTTCCGTCGTCTGTTGCACCCTGTGAATACATGTAGTCATTATCATTCAGGATCTTGAATTGCGTTTGCAAGCTCACCTTCCTTCGCGCTCCTCGAACTGTGCCGAGCACTGATCAAAGAGTTGCGAATCCATTTCCATAAAGAGTTTGAGCACGTTGTATGTTAAAGTCTGTACAGTACTGTGCCAGTGATTTTCGCAGTTGCGGTATAGTGCACCAAAGATCAGCGGTAAAATTTCGGCACGCCGTGCACTCACGAGACGTACGAGCGCCTCGTTATTCCATAAATATAAGGCACGTTGGGACACCTGGAAGTGGCTGCTGCATACCGCTTGCGATACCCTCAAGAACAATGGCCGCATGACCACCGCAAACTGCTCCATTTGTATCATTTCAATGATCTCCTCGAGCTCATTGAGAAATAAAATCTATGCACTCCAAATAGAAATAAGTATCACATGTCTTGTACGAATTTGACAAGGAGCCGTAAGGCGGAAAAGACCTCTTTAGCACTTGCAGTCACTGGCCAGTACTTGAGGAGCCCCATGATAATAGGTTCTGCAGTTTGTGGATCTTTTTCGACAAATTGCGTAGTGCAATAGGCTAGCTGTTGGTGAAACATGGCCAAATTTCCGGCCTGTATAGTAGCAAGGGGCGTCAACAACAAAAACGTGTGTAAGAAGCATTCTTTAACCAAAACACCGCAAACCCTCGCAATTGTGGTACACGTGCCGTGTGAAGCGGAATTAGAGCACGCTCTAGAAAATTCTGGTGCTCGGGTTTGAGTGGAAGTGCAAAACCATTGATAATACTGCAGCCAAATGAGGAACACGAAGAAAAGTCTGATACATCAGCCGGAAAATAAAAACGATCATATACGAACCATACCTTCCAAGAATTTCCAGCAGCTCTCCTACGCCCTGCAACGACTCCGTTTCATACACGAAAGTGTAGAACATGTCGTTGATCGAGCGGCGGATGAATGAACGAAGCGCCATCGACTTACCGTAAATGCGGTGCAGAATTGTCTGTTTAAAGCAGAACAATTATTCACTCAACACATTTTATCGCATCACCGTTCACGCTACCTTTAAGTAGTCTCTTTCCCTTGGATCTTCGGAATCGAATAAATTTAGCAGCCTGATCATAAATTTTTTGCTAAAGTATTCCTTAGCCGTCCTAGAGTCCACCTCCTTCGACAACACGAAGCGAAGCAATATCTCGTACACCAACTGCATATGTGGCCAAGATGGCTCCAGCATTGGCTCATCATCCTCCGGTGCCGCTGTAAGAAAAATAACGTAGAATAAGTGCAATTGACAATGGAGAGAAGAAATTTGTCCAGTATTCGACCTTCCACGCCGCCATTGGCGTTATTTATCGACGTATTGGAGCTGCGGCCCAAGTGGCGAAATATATTTGATCCTACACATTCGAGCAATTCGGTCACCACAGAGGGGTCCCAAGCCACTTTGCCGGCTGAGATGTACTCGACGATCTGCAACAGCGCGTTGCGTTTGGCTTCCTTCTCCCGCGCGTGCTTACGCATATCCGTGAAATCGTACAGCACGCAACAAAGCTTGAGCTTTTGACGGAAGAGCCGCATACGCTCATTTGGGGGTACGTCTTCCAACGCTGGTAGCTCACCCAGCTTTATTGTCCCATTGGCCGTCAGGGACGCCATAACTGCAGGATCGACAAGCACGCGTTTTCCGGCTTTACAGTATCAGGACAAAAAAACCTCTATGTAGGGCGCTTAGCGTCACATTACCGCGTGATAAAAGCTCTTGGAGCAACTTATAGTGATACTGCGATGATGAAGCGCGTGACACGATTGTGAGCCAATGGGATATTATCAAATCTCAGAATTTTGCTAGTAATATTATGTCGTTAAGGACCATAATGTAATAGCATAGTTAAAATTTAAGTCTATCGTTCGATACCCCAGAGTTCAAGTAAATGATTATAATCAATTCTTCTTAGTCAGCGTCGCAATGCACGTGGTGTAATGTCGTGAGTGCCAACGCACCGACACCAATTCCAAACATGAGCAGATTAATCACGAAGTACCCGAATGACTTGACACGAAGCACCCCAGGTAGAAGATCTGTGCCTGCAATGTACACAAGTGTTCCCTGTTACACAGATCAGATGACATGATGCACATGAGTAATATTCTTGAATCCGACGATACCATGTCATAGAAACCTACCGAGCCTACAGCGAGCAATAGTCCCATCGTCTCATTTGTGACGGGCACAGCAGCGAGTACAACAATCGCTCCAACGAAAGCGGAGAGTGCACTGAGGAAATTAAAGAGCACAGCTTGGAATGGCGTGAACCCTGAGTCGACAAGAATGATAAAATCTGCAAACTCTTGTGGCAGCTCATGCAAGACAGCAGATGCAGTGACCGAAATCCCAAGCGAGTCATCACACGCGAGAAACGCAGTAGCGATCAATACTCCGTCCACAAAATTGTGGAACAAGTCGCCAAGCAAGATAATGTACGCCATTGGTTTGATAGTTTGCCAGTCAACTTTGAGACTAAAAACTGATACACTCGTTTCGTTTTGGCTCGAAAGCGAAACAGTGTCAGCAGCATTGTATTCACCAGTCTCAGGTGTGACATTCTGTTTTCCAGTTTCATGATCCAGTACAATAGTTGCTGGATGGTGATCATGAGTGTGCGACTCTCCGTCTTGAACCAAGCTTACCCACAACTCGAGCGCCATTTCAACAACCATTGCAACCACAAATCCGACTGTAAACATCATGCTTAATGTAAAGTTCATTTGACCATATGCACTGTAAAACTCGATCGATTCGGGCAAAATATGGAGAAAAGCGGCTCCAAACAGTGCTCCCGCAGATAGCGCAATCATGGCGTCCATCAACTTTGTCGAAAATTTCACTCGAAAAATCAATAAGAAAATTCCGACGATAGAAAGAATTGTCACAATTGCCACGGCAACCAATGTATTGATCCATACGGCTGCTGTAGCATTCCGAGCTGACCTCGTTTCTGCATTCTCTTCTGCTACTTCAGCAAGGCTCAGCGCTACTGCCACCTCGTCACCTGCAGCATCAAGCACTTGCATTCCGAACTCTGTAACCGCATCGTGCTGCATATGGAGCGCATAGTAGCCAGCTTCATCAACTACCAAATTGACTGTCATTGGCTCCGTTGCTAGTCGTCGACTGCTGTGCCCAGTGTCACTATCACAGTTGTCAATGTGCCACGTATTACCTCGTACTGCTTCACACTCGACTTGTAACGCTGCAAGCTCATCAACATTATTGCGTTGAATCACATATAATCGCCGAACGGCAGGTGCTATATAATCTGACGCCCGAATAATGTTGCGCGGGAGTGACACATCTTCTAACAAACGCTTTGACTGCTCCACAGAAGACTCTAGATCACTTCGTGTAACAATTTCCGTGATCGAAAGATCCAGTGGTAGCACAAACATTGCCATACTTTCCGTGTTATCAATGAAGGTAATGTTGTATGTGCCATTTTCGAATGCCATCGCTATGGAAAGCTCCCAAGCAATGCCACCTGGAGGACATGTGGCCGTCGTTCCGGATATCGAAATACATTCAACCCCCTCACTCCGATACCCTTCTTTACAGTGACAGTGGTTACCATGCAGCTCGCCTTGACCACTACATACCTCCTGTCCCAAACCAGGCAACCACATCATAAGCGTGCAGATAGTAATGGCGTAGAGTGATGAGGTCAGCATTTTGACGCAAGTGTGAATTTTCACGAATGGAGTTTTGATGGACATTAACGACTGTTTTGATAGAGTCCGACGGCGGGAAAACACTTCTGGTTATCCGAAGGCGGCATTGAAATGATTGATTTTGTCTGTAAATGTGACGTATTAAACCATTTATCAGTAGAGAAAAGGTACAAACGTCAACTTCTCATGTTTAACTTTGTCTTCAGGCCCTAGATCCTATCAACGCGTTTGCTGTCGCTTGATCACTTGTCAGTTGCCGCAGATGCAGCTTAGATTTCATCCTACACTCTTTGAAATAATCGTCGGTAGGAAACGCATAATGTGTTAGTATCACCATGCTCTTCACTGCCTCGTTCAACCACTGATTTCGACTATTACGATCACGGCGACGACTTGATTAGAAATCAATGAACCTCACTGATATTACTCGATGAGGCTGATGACCACGACCAAAGTGGTTATTTCAAATGGCACCTTGACGCCCTCACCCATTCTGTTAGCTTCGACTCGCATTCGATCATCATTGATGCAACTTTGTGTTTGTTGTTTATGTCTTATTTCTATTGTAGTATACACTTCACCCACTTCACATGGCAAAAATCTGATCTATATGTGCGTAATCCTGAGCTCTATTAAATATTGTCCAATATACTTTAAATCTATCACATTCAGGTGCTTATTATTGATGATGAGCATCTGGTATTTCCCCATGGAGTATTTGATATGATCATTGCGACCATCCGAATACAGGTAAAAAATGTGCACTTGCTCAGGAAAAGCAGGTGCTAATTGGATCTGGATCGAATAATTTTTCGTGAAGAAAGTACAGAATCCATGTGGCTGAAAGGCATCATAAGATGAAATGCGGCTCGAGCCATCATTTCATCTTGTTTAAAGTGGCCAAAAAAAGTGATTGCAGCTGCTCTACAGTTTCGTAGACGCCGATACAATTTGTAAGTGCATGTGGCTTCAGCAACAAAGATGAGATCTTCACTGTAAGCTTTTTTAAAATAAATTTGTGAATTGTTTCAACTTTAGGAAATTATTGATATAAAATGAGGTATCGTGCAGACTTCAATGTCAAATTCATCGAAATTATCATGTACATATCAGAGCATCGGATTTGAAATTTGTATCTCTTCCTCCAATAACAATTTTCGCAGGGCCGACATATCGCCAATCAAGCTGTTTATAAGAAATTTACCTCAAGAAAAATACATTCATTCTTGAATTATTCATGGAAAAGCTTACAGAGTCACCGTGTCTGGTTTTTGACGAGGTACTACATGACGAGGATTGCGCGGAAATGGCGCTAGAGCATGAAAATATAGAGCGCGTTATGGATGGCCAGTGCCTTGTGGAGCAGCTTTCGCTTACGCAAATTCCGACGGTCAAGCATCGCAAACGTCGCCGCACTCGCACAGTTGACGCGGACTTGGAGTTGCAGTGTCTTCACGACGACGTTCAATTCGAAAAGGATTCGCTTCTTTACTCAAGTAACGCAAAGGAGAGTGATACAGAAGACGGTGCCAATGCTCTTGTTGCTGTATTTGAATCAGCAGATTCGGATCAGAATCAGACACTACGGGAGCAGCCCGAGCTTTTGAGAATGAAGTTTCCACATACACCCTCTGCTTCGTTCATGCGCGTGTGCTGCTGTGGCGAACGAAATCGCAGCACGATGGCGGAGGACGAGGCGTTTGAATCACATAGTGCATTCAGAGAGTATCTGGACCTGCACATCCGCTACGCAGTGGTAGTGCGTGTTGTTAGGGTAGAAATCGTGGACGGCCAGGTCATATTTGTACTCAAAGTATCAGACGCAGAGACCCAAAAGCGCTGGAAGGTCAACAAGACGCTGAAAGAGATGATGCAATTTTATTCACAAATCCAGCAGATAAGTCTTTTAGATGCACCGGTCAAGAGGTCACTGTGGGGCACGTTTCAAGGACTGAGGAATTGCAAATTACCTAAAAAGTTTCTTCGCTGTCGAGGCTCATTGAATGCGCAACGACGCGTGATTTTCGACTCGTTTTTAAGACAAACAGCTGCACTAGTAGCCCCGGCACCACTGGGAATTCGACGGAGGAAGGCTGTGCTACTACTACAAGAGTTTGTAGGCGTGCACCGCCATTGTAATGTGTTTCACCGTACCAGCTGCACGTGTTTCTCTCCCGAAAGTCAGGTGTACGCATGTCACCTTGTGACAAGTATCTTCGGGCTACGCAATCATGATGTTACGATAGCATGCACGTCTCTTGTTACAATTCTCATTACCTCGAGTCGTGATGAGAAGCATGCAAATATGTCACAATGCAAGGCACGAATGCTTTTGAACACAATATCGCGAAAAATGGGCGAGATTGTAAATAGAATGCTGCGAGATAAAATGCTTTTAAGCCAACTCGCCGTTGCTCGTTCAACTCGCCCTGACTCTGACTACGACGAATTAATAGACGAAGTAAAGCATTCTGTATGCAGCTTTGTACAAATGCGTGTGCTTGTACCATTAGAGGATCATGTTTACGAAGCGCTTCACACTGTTACCGATTGGGAAGACGAAATTGCGCTTAAGAACAAAATTAAGGTGCTGCAGACCAAACCTCAGTCGTTTTTCGGGGTGCCGCCGCATATCGTCGCTATCTCTGGAAAAGACTGGGAAGATGCACGTCGTGAGCTACGTTGTGTGAATGAGTACGCTTTGCCGCTTGATAAGCTCAAGTGCCTAGCACGCGCTGCGGGGGCTATTTTCCAGGCATGTGGGTCGTCGCGATTGTCATCATTTCATGATACAATCGGTAGTTTGACTTCGATTGAGGATTTGGACATGACCCTTCGGCCTTCAATAACTACAGATGAATTCATTACAGTGCACTTGTTTGTGCTTGTTATGAGTAATATGTCGCAAATTTTGATCACGCGTGAGTTTTTGCGAATAATGTGCGACCCACAAGATATTACTGGTGAGCTTGGCTATTATCTTACCACGTTTGAAGTGGCAGTAGACTTGCTCATTAACCACATTGACCTCGAACAGCCGCTGATACCATCAAAGTGATTATGTGGCTCGTCATCGACTGATAGCATATGATGGCTAAAGGGCGCCGGAAACGGCATTTTGTGTCTACACTGTTAATAGTCGACGCTGAAAGCGATACATTAACAAGGACAAGCGACTCTCCAGATACCGAATTCGGTGCAATAGATGGCAGCATAAAGCCAGGAAGGACAAACGTGGCAGAAAATCGCATTGCAAAGGTTAACATGGAGTCGTTTGGGGCCCAAAGGTTGCTCTGGGTGCAACCGAAGCCGGTTTGGGAGACTGCAAAAGCTGTAGGTCGGCATTGCAGCGTCTAAGCTCGGCTCATTGGGTCATCGTAACGATCTTGCTGTTGATTCGAGCAGAGTAAATTATTCTTTCTGCATGTACTCATATAAATAAGATGTGCTATAAAATATTTTGGCATGAAGATGCTGATTTTGCTGCATTTTGACAAACCTTACGAAATGATGAGGAAGTGATCAGTGACATTACAGGCGTTGGCGCATGCGATTGGAGATTAATCGCTGCACCGCCTTATCAGAAGGTTAAAAAATGGCTGGGCGGTCAGATTCTTTGTGTTCGGATTTCTACGCTACGATGAAGGCAGATCTCCCATGGCACCACAAGTTCAGCTCCCTCCAAAATCACCTTTTGTGTCACCGAACGAAAAGTTTGGCTACTGTAAAGAAATATGTCATGTAATTATGATCTTCTATTGAAACGGCTACGAGGGAAATGGCTCAGATAGTGACCATCTGTATAAAAGGGCTGATTTAAGTATTTAGTGTAAGGCTCAACCTGATCATTTAAAAAGATTAGCGACGCATCAAATTGCCTGAGTGTATTACCCTGCATTTCTTCAAGACGAAATCACAATGCATAAGGCTGGATGAGTAGAGAGATTGAACGTAATGATAGAATAAAGCTTCAGTATATAAATCACATTGAGTACTTAACAGAAGTCTTCACCCCGGTACTCTCCGCTTGGACGACTCCTTATCCCAAGAACTCCCTCGCCATCAACCCCATCCTCTTAAAGTTTTATGAGCTTTACTACTTTGATCTCCACTCAAGATGCTACGATCAAGAGCTCAATCATTAATATCAATGGGGACAAGTACGCGGCATGGAGCCGCTACATGCGTGGGGCGATTTTGAGTCAACGTGGTACATGGTGAACCGTGACACGTCTTTTAGCTACGCTGACCCTCGCACCAGGAAGGGCTACGTCAAGTCGAGTAATATTGCTTTCGACTAAATGTTGCTCCACATGTTTGCAGACTATCATCATGTGCTCGATAAGTGCAAAGAAGCGTAGGCAGCATGGAATGCTGGAAGATCGGCTTAAAGCATATGTTGCGTTATCGAATTCCCGGATCATGGGGCGATATTGTATGATTGCGCCCGCGATGACACGATAAGATTGCACCCAATGATATCATAGGAAAGGCTTAGAGGTAGCACAGAGCAGCGAACTAAGGATCTTAGTATATTCACTTCCAAACTTGCATTCTACTTCTCGCTTCATCTTCTCAACAGGTCATGAGCCCAAGTGACTCCAACGACGCGCCAAGCGCACCGACTCCAGTCCACTTCGACGTCGGCCATTAAAGAGTCGCAGTGCCTTCAGTAGCTGTACCGCTCAGGGGTTGAGCGACGATGTCAACGCAAGGATTCTCGCCACTCTTCTCGACTTCAAGCAAGGGAGACGCAGACGGAGGCCTCGCAAGTGAAGCGAGACGAGAACGAGCGTATGCTCAGGGCAACTAGGTCTGACACGTTCCACTTTGTCCTTGGTTACGGCCGAGGGGGTACGCCGATGAACATCGACACGTTATGTCATTCGCCCGGGCGGCAGAAGAAGTACAAGGCTGCGCATACGCGCATCGTGCGCTTGGGGCAGGAATACAACCTAAAAGATCGGAGTGGGATGCTCCCCATGGTGAAGTGCTGCAGCAGACCCGGTCCCACTTGTACAGTATGCAGCGGCACAAGACTATGCACGACGAATGGAGCCGGTCGCACAGCAAGCAATGCGCGTACCGGATGAGCGCCAGCGCAGGCTCACGATCCGCAAATTCGATGAAACTGAGCTGTACCGAGGTCTGGGCTCCGGGTTTCTGGACTGGGGTCGGACAAGCATGGGCTAGATCCAGTTTACGCAAGCAGCGTGTGGTTTTGGCTGGTCAGAAGACGAGAAGACTGACTTGCTCGGTCACTACTTGTGTGGGACGGCCGAGCGGTGCTATAACAATCAGGTAGAGACTTGAAGGCGCCAGCTCCCGACGCTAAGCCATGTTATGGAGCGACCTCACCAGACATCCGTAACGACGATCACTGCGTCACAGTCAATGAGACTGTTTACGGCGAAGAAAGAAGCCAAGAGGACCGGACCCGAACACTATCTGTACATGGTGACAGTAAGCGATGCGTGCGGAGGCGCTGACGCGCAAGTGCTCGACAACATTGTCCACTATGCGTCAAGTGAGCTGCACACAGCACTAATGGTAAAGTACGGTGTCAGGCACCTCGACTTCCTCGTCCAAGCTGAAGAGCTCACGCATTTCGCACAGTCTGTCGAAATTGATACGAGAGGTCCTGCTTCGGCCGTCGTTGTGAACATACTTGAGAGCAAATCACGCGTCGAGAAATGCGTGCTCTGGATGTGGCAAGGTTGAGCACATTTTGGCTGCTTGCTCCAACGAGAAGAATAATAAGCATGATGTTACCCAGGGTGCTGGAGGAGAATCGACAAGAAGAAGGCAGTTGTAATCTAGATCTTGTGCGTGCAGGATAGCGGCACCCAAGACAAGGTCTGGATCTTGGACAGCGGGTCGAGCCGGCATTTCGTGAACAACGCAGCACTAATGAAAGATGCTTGCGAATGCGAAGACCAGTGCTTAGTGATGCTGGCTGTTAGTGTACTGCTTCGGGTAATGGCGCTCGTCAAGCCGAGCATTGTTCGCCTAACGGACGTCTACTACGCTAGAAATCAAGGGATACGGTCTCACAAATGATCGGCGAGCATCCAGATCGCTCAGCACCGGTGACGTCATCTTTGATGTGACAATGCAAGACATCGTTCTTGTTGTCGAACCGCAAGCCAAACACGAAAGCAGCAGCAAGGCTGGCTCTATTGTGACATCGATCGCTAAGGTGAAGGATCGTGGAGAAGACGTGCAGCGTGGAACAATCATGCATTTTCATCAGCGCTTCTGGCACATTTCGTATGAGACAATCGAGTGGATGGCTTTTGAGCGTGGCTCTGGAATTAAGCTCACGGACTGTCGACACATGATATGTGTCACGTGCTCCCAGAGTAAGCAAATCAAAAACACGCAGCTAAAGAAAGACACGGGCACGCACTCACAGATCAACCGCATCGGTGGTGTGATTTGCTCGGACTTTAAGGGATGGATGACACCAAAGGATCGATTTGGCTCACTTTGTCGATCTAAGTGCAATTACTGCCGCGTGCTCCCGGCGCATATCAGGGGCCAAGTGGCGGAAACTTTAAGGGTTTCTTGATGTTCTTTGAGAACATTTCAGCTGTCGCGTTCATGTACGACGCACAGACGTGATATCGGAACATCAATTTATTCTGCAAGTCCCTATGGCGGGACACGGCGGTTGAGCGAATCAAGGAATCAAGCATCAAGGCAAGGCAGCACGCATGCACCGGACGGCTCTAAACATGGCAAGCTCTATGATTTTTGTAGGCAAGCTCCCGCTGAAATTCTGGGGAGTACTCGGCCTACATACTGATTTGCAGTCCCACGAGCTCGAATGTTAACAAAGCATGACCAATTGAGGTGCTAACAAGTCAAGCACCCGACATTCGTGATATAGTCACTTTCGGCTCAGTGTGCACAGTATATCGTAACCCGAAGAAGAACTCTTTTGCAAATAGGGCGGAGAATTATATCATCGTGGGATGCAGCGACGAGGGCAAGGGACATCGCGTGTTCATACGCAAGGACAATGTCGTGATCGTGACCCAACACGTCAAGCATATTAAGGCAGCAAGGCGAATAGTTACGCTATGAAGCAGGAGCGGAGGAGAAGACGCCGTCGGTTATTACTTTTGTATTGAAAGCGATGGGCAAGACTGATCAGCAATCGTGGGGACGTGCGTCACATGTCACACGAGGGGCTGCCAAGCGAGCAGCACAAGACACTAAACAAGTGACAAGTGATGTAGCAGCTGTTATGCAAGTTTACGAGGCTGAGACAAAGACACACGCTGAGGCAATGCGCAGTCGAAAGCTGAAGACTGGAGAAAGGCAATGCTTGAGGAGATCTTAACTCTCGAAAACAACGGCGCCTGAAATGTGATCAAGCGACCGCCTGAGGCCAACATATTGCACAGTAAGTGGATATTCAAGACCAAAATGCATGCGATCGGCGCGGTGGAGCGTTGGAAGGCGCGTCTCGTTGCGTGCGGGAACAAGCGAGGTTTTGGCATAGATTATGCGCTCACTTTCGCTGCCGTCATAGATATGTCGACAATAAAGGTGAGTTTCTTACTTGCAGCGACGTGGGTGGTGCCGGCAAAGCATGGTGAAATTCCGAACGCCTACGTCAAGGCTGATAAGGAGAATGACCTTGAGATTCTGCTTCATGTGCCATGTGGGATGGACATCACAGATGTCCATCTAAAGAAATGAATTGCGACCAGTGGAATCGAAGAAGCGCTCGAGCTCAAGAAGAGTCTGTGTGGACTGAAGCAGGCGGGATGATTATGAAGCCGACTGCTACACGTAATACTCTCAGACGCTAATTTCAAGCAGTGTATTAGTGACATGTGCCTGCACTTCAAGCGCGACGAAAAGACTTGACAGTGGTTGGTGTCTACGTCGACGATCTCCTTGTTACAGCAACAAGAGCCACAGCGGTCGAGCGATTCTTCAAATCAATGGCTTCACTTTCATTCAAGAGTATCGGATCAGTGTTGAAGTTTCTCGGTATGAGAGTGTCAGCACACGACGTGCACGCATATGCTCTCGATCAGGAAGAGACTATTGTCGAGCTGTTGCGTGAGCTCGGCAAATCCTACACGGAAACCTATTGGTAACGACTGCTACAACGATGCCACACCAGACAGTGTACTACTGCAGGAAAATGCCGACTTCGGGTCGCCAAGTATTCGTTTGTTTCAGCCGCTGGTCGTTTGTCTGCTATCAATCGCACAATGCACGCGGCCAGACATTGCGTTTGCGGTTCACAAAGCCACGCGACAGACACATGCGCCGCGTGTACGAGTCTGGAAATTGGCAAAGAGGATTGCGCGCTACCTCAGTGGAAGCAAAGTGATACGGCTTGAAATGCGCGGCAATGCGGGCTGCAACGGATCAATGACGCTTAAGTCTTGCAGTGATGCCGACTTTGCTACCGATAAGGGAGACAGAAAGCCGCTCACTCGCGATATCGCTCTACTACATGCGATGTCTGTGAGGGGGGCAGCCAAGAAACAGGGTGGAGTCACTCCCTCGATTTTGGTAGTCGAACTGGTCGCAGCGTCTGAGACGGCTCGCGAGACCTCGGTATTCTAGAGATGATTTAGGAGATGGAACTCGTGCCAGCTCAGCCTATGCTGATGCCTGTGGAGAACCTTGCCGCAAATTGTCAGATCGAAGGAGATACATCGCTCGTAAAAGCTAAGCACAATGAAGTGCGTCTCACGATTTTTAAAGATCTGGCTCGTCGAGGAGTGGTGGGGATGCACTACGTCAGCCCGCAGCTCATGCTTGCGGATATGCTTGCTAAGGCGTTGGATCAGCACAAGCTCGCAGAGCGGCGAGAACTCGTGGGTTTACGCTAGGCATGGCGGGGGGGGTGCGATCGCGAGGAGGAGCGTTAAGAGATCGGCTCCAAGGACCATGAGACGATATTCTATGGTTGCACCCGCGATGAAGCGATTGGATTGCACCCAATGATGTCATAGGAGAGGCTTAGAGGTAGCACAGAGTAGCGAACTAAGGACCTAATTATCATCACTTCCAAACTTGCCTTCTTCTCCTCAGTTCATCCTCTCAGCATTTTAATCTTATCAAAAGTCTGTTTCCCACCAAGACGGGAGCCACTTGGTGGCAGTGTTAAGGCACACGAAGGATTATCGATTCATTTATGTAATGCAGACTCAAGCCCCAAAGACTAATGTACTGCGTTATTCAACGCAGACTTAGTGAGAGGGAACAATTTCACGCTACATTGGACTGTTTACACTCGTAGCAAAATTGGATTTGTTTGAGCTCCGGATACCGCATAGTGAATGCAGACACACGCACTGTTATATGTGGCCTTATTGAATCGTGCAGATCACGTCAGACTCGAACAACTCTGTTGCGGCTGAAGTAATGTCTCTACCACCCCCTGTTGCCGAGCTACCCTTTACTCCAAAGGTGTGACCTGAATCGAGCCGCTCAGGGTACAATTAGGCCAGGCAGAAGGATATCGAGTTTCGAAGATCGTATGTGGCTCTTTTCAGACACGGACGCGCGTATTGACCCTTGAAGAGAGTCAACGTTGCACCACAGTCAAAATAGCTCACAACGCTAGCAACAGGAGGGTCTACCATCGCCTGCGTTGCTCGACAAACTTGGGCCGGTCCACTTCTACGTGGGAATGCTCTCAGGCCGATAGTTCTAGCAGGTCTGTTACCAATACTTGGTGAAGGGTACAATCAATTTTAATCTCAAAACTCGAAGAAGTTTGAGAATCCACTTCGGCACTATTATCCTGTTGCTCTAGCTGCTTACAACTTGGCGCACTCTTGGCATTTTTTCTCTTAAAGAAAAATACAGGTTTGCCTATCGCAGCGCGCGTTATAGAGGCGACCGACATTGTGGCGGCAAAACTGGGGTGGTAACTATTATAGATCTCTCATGGAAAAAAGCAGGGCTGTAAGAACAGCAAGAACTGCTGCCTTACAGAGCTTGGCTGTCACCTCGAGGTCCGCTTCGTTCTTTTGAATTTGCTAAATCAAGCATGGGTCGACGCACTTTGCACCGGGGCTGCCGTAGCTCTTTGCTTAGAGGAAGCTAAGCTAAGGTCACTGACCTTATATCTTTACAAGAACCAGTACGAGTGTAGCGGATCGCAATCCGCTACCTCCAAGTACTAAAGATATAGCCAAGCATATGGACACTTCTGTTCAAATTTGAAACTGTATTTAATTGTTTAAGTTGTGGCAGAGCCGCCAGTATCTATAACCCTAGGTTTTCCTAATCTATATAATAATACCTAATTATAGTAGCAAAACCTGATTAATTAACATGCATTACTCACGTGGTGGTTTCTTGTTACGGTACTGAGTGATTACACTAACTTGTGTAATACACACATTTCTTTCTTAAAAGGGTACGTGTAATCCCGTAACACTATTGATGGGCGTCCACCTTCGTCAGCTGGATTCCAAGCGCTAAATCGGATGAGGCGGCGATGTATTCTCACAATTGCTTGAATTGAGTGAAATATTCAGTGGCTCCTTTGTCAGCATTTTAGTCATCTGCAACCCTAATTCATTTATGGATCAGCAAATAAAACTTTGCTCCATACGTAAGAAATTGTCAGTGTTGTTCAGCGTTCAGCTGTTGTATCCGATACTTATTGTAAAATGTAATTTTGTATAGTTACGAAACCCAAAAAAACCGATTGCCAAGGCATATATATACATATGCGTGAGGGAAGAATTCAGAAACGTTGTTCCCTCAGATAGAATCAAAACCTTTTCCAGAGGCTGCGTTGAAGCAGATCCTGTCCATTCTTTATATGCAATAAAAACTGACGCCAATCATGGATTAGCCACTCATCCTTGTGATGGCCGCCCTTCTGATATCGCCGTGCTCGTTAATTTGAGCGGCACTTGTAAACGATTTATTGCGAAGATCGCAATGCAGCAAATTTTTTTTCTCACCAGTTTGTACGCGTATCACGTGATTATTTAAAACTTTGTGAGCCTGATATTCGCCTACATTTTTGCTAACAAACTTGCAAGGCATGATACACATTTAGGAAACGAATGCGCGTCGCTCTATTGCCTTATTGGCTGCCAGTTCGTTCTCCTTTTGCTGCGTTTTGACGCTTCTTCCATACGTGAGGCAGATTGGACAAAGAATTTGCAGCTAGAAGCATGCTTGCTGGCAGCGAATCGACTCGCTCTTACGCGTGAGCAGACAAGTTGACGACATTGTCTGTTCTGTCGTTGCTGGGGCCAAAATAAAATTCCAAGTCTGAATCGCTGCTTTCATTTTTCTCATCTTGAAGCTCATTTTCAAGTCACTTGATGCGCTCAACAATGTCTTCCGTCTCTGTAATTTTTTTTGAAATTCAACAGAGCGCTCTCGGATGACTGCTTCAGCCGCTTGGCAATGGGCTCCGAGCTCCACATGCAGTAAGCTAAGTAAAGCTGTTTGATTGGCTTAGCAAACTTTAGGCCAGAAATTATAATCTTTCTAAAAGCTTGGCAGACTCAAACGGATCAGCATTAAGCCTTCAATACCACGTGAGCAATAAGCTACGGACGTTGGTGCATGAAAATACATAAGGTGTACTAATAATTGGGAGAATGCAGAATCTTCATTTGGAAGTCTCAATATATATTTAGGGAGTTGATATATTCACTCACGTTTGCTTGCACACCACTTTTTGGTTATATTCACTCACCTGCCCGTACAGCGCCACTCACCTTCACTCACCTGCCAGATTTGCCAGTACTGTACTGTACAGTAAAATACAGTGGCACTCACCACTCACTCACCTGCCAGTACACTACACTATATTCCCCCACCTCTTTGGTACCTGCCGCTGAACACTACCATAAACACCGCGCACATCATGAACCACAACCAGGAAACTTCCGCGTCTAAGGCACTGCTACCTCCGCCGAAAATGGAATATGTCAGTCGTGAGGAGCTGATGAGCGTGGTCCAAAGTTTTGCACGCGCTCAAGGCTATGCGGTTTCTATCAAGCGTTCAAATACCGGCAAAAGAGTTTTCTTGAAGTGCGATTCCGGTGGTCTTTATCAACCGAAGATAAACCTTGAGGAACGGAAGCGTGAAAGTAGCACGCGTCGCATCGATTGTTCTTTCCTGTTAAGTGGAAAGTTCTCGCCCAAAACAAATGTGTGGCGATTGGCGATTGAACACCGCCAACACAACCACGGGCCCTCTTTGCATCCCTCTGGACACTCCATCCACCGGAGGTTGACTGCTGGCAACTTACGAAAGGTTAACCATGACATCTCCCGGTATTAAGCCACTGGGCATTTTGTCAACCATGCGCGGCGGAAACGGTGACACCGTCGCCAATTTGCGAACGTTGTACAACGCACACGCAAAACTCCGCGAAGAAATGCTTGCTGGCCGATCGCCCATACAAGCGCTTATTGATAACTTGCGGGAAAGCGAGTTTATCTATCATGTTGATTGTGACGGGACCGGAGCCGTCACTGCGCTTTTTTTTTGCGCATCCAGAAAGCGTCAGCTAGCAAAGCACTAACATCGTGTCGCATTGATGGACTGTACATACATGACGAACAAGTACCGGCTTCCCCTCCTTCATGTGATCGGCATGACAAGCTTTAACAGCCAGTTCTCCATCGGATTTGTGTCCTCCAGAAGGAGAAGAAGAAGGATTGCTTGTGGGCCATAGCAAAGCTTCTTGCCGTCTGGACACCTGATGCGCGCCCGAAGGTTATCGTCACTGATAGGGAACTGGCATATATGGGTGCACTAGATGAAGTGATGGCTGGTTCGGCCAACATACTTTGCACATGGCACATCAACAAAAATGTCCTAGCCAAATGCAAACGAAC